TCAGCCATATGATTTACTATTTCTTCCAGGGGTACTTTCAGAGATGTAGTGACCTAAAGCAAAAGAATGACTCTCATAGTACAATCTGAGACAAACCTCTGGAAAAGATATTTTTCTCTACAAGGGAATACTATGAAGCTTCTCATAACACAACCACTGGACATGTAATAAGCCAGATTAATTTCAAATGCAAGAGATTAAAAGTAAAGCTGGACTCTGAATTGACTATATAGCATTCAATTATACTTATTTTCAGTCTCAAATTACCATGATTTTACTGTCCTGTCTCTTCAATACTATAACACATGCATCTGGCACATAATGAGAATTTAATGAGTAGTATTCCTTGATGCATTCATTATTATTACTATTAGAAGCAGTAATAGCAATAGTGTTGCCCCAGTACCAGGCACAGTACCGGAGACATTATATGTTCAAAACTATAATATTTTTTTATTGCACCAGCTCCTGGCACAGTGGCTGGAACATAATAGGGCACTGATTGAGTTAGCTCCATCCGTTGTCACCTATCCCAGGGATACATTTGTCTTTAGTTTCCCACATTGCAGTGCCTTACTCAAGTGGACACAGATCTTCCTATAGCAATAATGCTTAGCCCAGCACCACCAGTGAACCATCTGAAAAGACACCCAGCCTTTCTTTCCATGGTAGACTCTTAAGTGGCAAATGGGCAGCAAACGTTTAAGATGATTTTTTTTCAGATGAGGAAAACCGAAGTTCTGAGTTATTAACTTGGAGTTTTAGTGCACCTCTAAGTCTTGTAATTTATTATAGCCCGGAAAATATGCCCCCCACCACTGTCTCCCAAATAGGCCATGATCAATCTCACCACTTTTGTTCTTGCACTCTGTAGTGCCTGGACTACCCTCACATTTTTACATTTAATTCATACTCCAAGGACTGGATTAAGAGCAACCTCTTCCACCTGGTGCACTGTTGGTGGGATTGCAGATTGGTGCAGCCACTATGGAAATCAGTACGGAGGTATCTCAAAAAACTTGCAATGGAGCTACCTTATGACTCAGCAATTCCACTCAGGTATTTACCCAGAAAAACTCAAGACACTAATTCAAAAAAATATATGAACGCCTATGTTCATTGCAGTGCTATTTACAATAGCCAAGACTTGGAAACAATTGAAATGCCCATTGGTAGACGACTGGATTAAGAAACTGTGGTACATTTACACAATGGAGTATTACTCAGCTGTAAAGAAGAAGGAAATCGTACCATTTGCAATGATATGGATGGACCTAGAGAACATTATGCTAAGTGAAATAAATCAGTCAGAGAAAGACAAATACCATATGATCTCACTTCTATGTGGAATTGGAAGAACTGAATAAGTGAGTAATGTAAACAGAAATAGTCTCAGACACAGAGGAAAAACCGATAATTGCTAGATGGGATGGGGGTATGGATGAGGGAGAAGGGGAAGGGACGAGACAAGATGAAATGGTAACTACAATATTACCTCAGGGATAGAAAAGACAGTTTGGGGAATATAATCAATAATGTTGTAAATATTTTTTAGGGGCCAGATGGACTCATGTCTTGTTAGGGAGACCATGTCATAGACAGTGTAGAGGCCTGACCACTGCACTGTACATCTGAAGCTGCCATTGAATAATATTATATGACAACTATAATTTAATACATATATAGTCATGGGATGTGGAGTATAGTGTGGGAATGGAGTCAATGGAATTGTAATAGATATGTATGATATCGGGGGTGGGGGGACAGTGAGTGGGGGAAGGGGGGTTGTCACTTTGTGAGGGGTGAAAAGGATAACTGTTGCTTTGTTTTGTACACCTGAAACTAATAAAAAAAGAGCAACCTCCTCCATTAAGCCTTCTCTCAGACCTGCAGCCCTACTTGTGCCCTTTCTGAAATCCCAAAGCTTCAAATCAGTACCACATAATTTAGCATTTCATTCCATAACTTTGCCAACCCTCCTCAGCTAGATTGTATTTTCTCATTAGATAAACATATTCATTTGTTAGGCACCCATTATGTTCCAGACCCTGTGTGAGTGCTGGGAAGAAGGGAATCAAGGTACTCCTACCCTAGTAGCAGGAAGACAAACATGCAGTTGGGTGACATTGGAAAATTGTGATCCAAGTGTCCATGGAGAACTCAGAGAAAGATTGGCTAACTTTCTGAGGGTACTGGGAGAAGGCTTCATGGAGAAAGGGAGCTATAAGCAAGATATTGAAGTAAAGACAGATTTTGTTAAGTAGAGAGTGTAGAATAAAGCCATGTGCAAAGACATGGTCATAAGACAGCAATTCAGAGAACATGGCTCAGTATGTCTAGAACTTAGGGTGGAATGAAGAGAAATGAGAAAATGTCATGCAATATTTACTTTTTCATTCATTAAGTATGTATCAAGCATCCAGAGTGTGCAAGGAACTTGGCTAGAAGCAGGTGCTGGAGAAACAGGTCAGATGCAATCTCTGCACTTAAGATTTAAGGCTAATTGGACATCACAGATAGATACCCAGTAAAACATAAGAATATATAATTTAAAATTATGGTAAGCATTAAGAAAGAAAATAGCATAATACAATGGAGAGAAGACAATAAATGAACTACTTTACAGGGGGTAGTTAGTGAGGGTTGCTCTGAGACAGTAAGTGACGTGTTATTGAGGTTCGAAAAATGAAAAAAGCTAGAGAAGAGTGTTCCAGGTGGTGATCAAAGGTCTTAAGGTGGAAAAAAGCTTGGCATGTTGGAAGAATTGAAATAAGTTCCACAAGGCTAAAGAATAGCCACAGGGATATAAACTACAGCATAGTCAATAATATCATAATAACTATGTATGGTGTCAGATGGATACGAGACATATTGGGGTGATCACTGCATAAGTTATATAAATGTCTAATCACTATGTTGTACACCTGGAATATAATATTGTATGTCAACTGTAACTAACAAGTTTTTTAAAATAAAGAAGAAATAGTGGATGGGGGTGGGACAGTGGCTTCAGATGAAGCTGGCGAGGTGAACACAAGCCAAAACCTAGTAGACCTCAGAAGGGAGTGTTGATTTTATCACAAGCACAGCAGGAAATTCACCAAGGAGGAATAAAATGGGATCAAGTTTGTCTCATGAGATAATTTGGGGATGGTGTCATAGACAGTCTGGAAGGAGAGAGAATGGAGTCAGGATGATCAATTCTAAGGCTGTGAAATGGTCCCGGTGAAGGGAGGAAGGCAGATATCTGTTCTTTCATAGGCTCCAAAATTGACTAGTACAGTGCTAGGGACACAGAAGGTTTCTACCATATCCGTATTGATTAAGTAAATATAAACTGAATTGGGTTGTTGAGTCTCTTTCCAGAAAATCTCACTTTCTCTTCTTCCGCCTTCCTTTTTGTTTCTAATGGAGACAGGGAGGCAGTCTACATTTAGTATTATTAAAGTCATTTGCTGTTTAGTGACAAATGTTTACTCTAAGTGCTACTTTCCTTTAGCCACTGCTGAGTTACTTGAAAGTAGCACAGGAAAATATCAGTGCTTCTCAAGACAGCCAAACAGCACCCTGCTCTCCTGAGATTTGTTATTTAGGCCTGTTCAGGGCAAGAGATAACCCTCACCTTCAAATACTAACTTCCCAGAAGATCACAAACACATAAATTGCAAATGCTATTTGGTATAATATATGCTTCTCTTTTTGCCAAGACAGGGATGTAATTACCTGGAAGAGTGAGGCAAATGTTTGTGGGAGCTTATTGTTTTCATCTCTCTTATATTGAGATGAGACAAGAGGCCCTTTATCACATTACCCTTTCCTTTTGCTGGCAAAACAGTTTGGTAATGAAAGACACTCAAATAACTCCATCCAAACAGCCTCCAGAGGGTCCTGGAGGTCTCATGAATCGGAGAGAAAGGAGAGCCAATCACCTGATGTGTCTGAGCCTCATTTTCTCCCCTGGGAAGGATAGCCATCCCTATCTCAAAGGGCTAGTACAAGGAGTCAATGAGGAATGTGCACAAATTTGATCTGTGAACTACAAGGCAAGAGCTTTATACTGTAATTCATTCTGTGCAATTGAAGGCAAAGACTGTCTTATTTTCTCCCAGAGAAAGTTAAACACATTGCAGGGACTCAATAATAGGTTTTACTTTAAAATCAATTCTATGAAAATCTGGCTTTGGATGTGGTGTATGTAAAACAGACCATTCACTTCTCAGATTTGAATCAGATTCTCAGATCTGTCAGCTCATTGGTTTGGAATGGTGGAGGGAAAAAATCATGATTGGGTAGAATGGGTTCATGTTTATCCTTTGCAGCTGGCTTTGGCCTATTGGAGCCAATACCCTTTCCAGCATCAAGAAGTGGGGTTTCAGGTAGCACTAATATGAGATTACAATCCAGGTTCTGCCTCTGAGGTGGCTGCAAAGGTAATCCTGAAAATTAGCACAAGCCCACAGTCCCAGGGCCCAATGGAAATTGGCCAAAGATGAGCTCCAACTTTGTATCACCAATCAGAAGTATTATCACGAGTATTTTCAGGCAGCAGGAGGGAAGGAAGGAACTAGTTTGTGCCATGTCTCAGGAGGTTTGCCCGAGCCAGTTGCTTTGATAATGTATTATTTAACTCTCACAATAGCTTTATGAAGTAAAAATAATTCTTGAGTACAGGTCCTGGTACACGGTGAGCAGTCACTAATGATAACTTATAAATATTAATATTGATAACCTTAATAATAATAAACTGAAACATGGAGGGCTTGCCTTCAGTAACTTTTCCAAGGTCACAGAGCTGGTAGGGCCAGCATTTTAACCCAGGTCTTTCTGACCCAAAAGCCTGGGCTTTTTCTGCTATACTCCTTTGCAAGAAGAAAAAGATTATGATATTAAAAGAGATTGGGATTCCCCAATCCCTTAGTAAGGCTGCCTCCATAACTGGCCATTTGAGACCTTCAGGTATCTAAGAATATATTTGGTTTCCCTCTTTCTCCTCACTCAGGTTTCTAAATTGATATCAACCATGGCTCAACTGTACTACAAAAAGTTCAACTACTCACCGTACAGAGACCGCATTCCCCTGCAAATTGTGAGGGCTGAAACAGAGCTCTCTACAGAGGAGAAGGCCTTCCTCAATGCTGTAGAGAAGGGGGACTACGCCACTGTGAAACAGGCCCTACAGGAAGCTGAGATCTACTACAATGTCAACATCAACTGCATGGATCCTCTGGGCCGGAGTGCCCTGCTCATTGCTATTGAGAATGAGAACTTGGAGATCATGGAGCTACTGCTGAAGCACAGCGTGTATGTAGGTGATGCCTTGCTCTACGCCATCCGAAAGGAGGTAGTGGGCGCTGTGGAGCTTCTGCTTAGCTATAGGCGGCCCAGTGGAGAGAAGAAGGTAAGAGAAGTCCCTATATGCTGGGAAATAGATAAGAACAGTAGGGCAGCAGGTTCAGAAGCCTTGGAACTGGAAAGGTTAGGTAGGCCAGAGTTGAGAAGGCCTGTTGTGGCAACCCTTTACTCTCAGCAATAGCATCTCTGGTGGTATCCTGGAACTACCCTTCATGGCCCATGCTGAATTTTCCTCATTTACCTTTTTCTTATTAGTATTTGTGTGTGTGTGTGTGTGTGTGTGTGTATTCAATACTTGACAACCCAAAAGTGTTCTCCATTTCCAGAATATTCAAGCTCCTTCTATCCTCCCTACCCTCTGCTCTCTATCTTCATTTTCTTCCTCTACTCAAACATTACATTCTCAAAAAGGAAAGACCAAACACAGACTTGGGCTTTCTCCTTCTCACCAGCCTCTCTCCTGAAGAAGGACAGGAGGCCTTTCAACAAAGTGCCACAATGCAGATGCAGATGGGTACAGGACTCACATATTTTTCTAGGACCTAACACATGACTGCATTCCACCCCTAGATGTTTCGGCTTTTGCCTCGGCGATTCCCTTATCCTCCAGGGTACCTACGTTTCATACACTGGAGTCATCTTTGAGTCTTTCATCCCCCTTGCCTCCATATCCAATCTCTAAGCTCTGTGGTTTCTTCCTTCCCAATATCTTTTACATATTTTCCTTTCTAGCCCAGCTCCCACCTCTCTGCCTCTGGTCACCATCATCTGTCTCCTGGATGAGTGGTTCTCAAAGTGTAGTCCCTAGACCAGCAGCATTAGCATCACCAGAGGAACTTGCTAGAAATGAAAATGCAAATTATCAGGCCCCACCACAGACTGAAACAGAATCCCAGGGGGTGGAGCCCAGCAAGCTGTGTCTTAACAAGCCCTCCAGGGGATACTTATGCACATTCAAGTTTGAGAAACAATGTCCTAGACTAACATAAAAATCTTCTAACTGGACTCTCTGCCTTTAGCCTCCTTCTTTCTCTCAAGACATCCTGAACAATGACACAGGCTTATACTTCCCCAAATAGTGTAACAATCCTATCATTCCTGTCCTTCCTTTCAATAACTACAATGTCTCCTCATTAGAAGAGAAACCAACCCATGAGGCCTAACACTCAATACCATTAATTAACAGTCTTTTCTAGTCCTGTCTCCCCTAGTCCCTTCTAAACCTTTCAAGTCAAACAGGTCTCTTCATTGTCTCTGTTCCTTTGGAGCATAGCACCGGACGCAGGGACAAAGAAAATACAGAGTAATCAAACATGGAATACTGCAATACATTAAAAAGTAGAAATAGTACAAAGCAAAATGAAAATTGCAAAGTGCTTGAAAAATTTTGATAATGAAAACACTCAACATCAAATCTTATGGAATATGACCAAATCTGTGTTTAAAGGGAATTCATAGCTTTAATGCTTGCCTAGTTAGGAATGAAAATAAGGTAAGTGATAACTTGCAGACCAAGAATTATAATTGATATAGCAGAAAGCAAGATACTACATTAAAAGTCCCTTGAGTAAAGGGCCTGAATACGCTTCTTCTGCATCAGCACTGAACAGTGCCAAAAGAGAAGAGATCTTGTCTCTCTTCTTCACTGCTGTATTCTAGCACTGGGAAAATGCCTGCAACATCACATACACTCAATCAATATTTATTTTATGAATGAATAGTATGCAACCAGCACTGTGCTAAACATCTTATACCACTTACCTCATTTAATCCTCCCAGCACCTCTATTAGGTAGACATTATTATTACCATTCCCATTCTACCAATGAGAAAAATGGAGTCACATGATGGTTAAGTCACTTGTCCAAGATCACAATAAATGTCAGAGCCAGGATTGAAACCCAAGCAGCCTAGCTCCTAAACCCACCCTCTTAACCTCTAGGCTGCAGTGCTTCCCTGGCCGTCTAGGTCTTAGAATTCCCAACATAGGAGTTCTCAGATGTGGTAGATCAGTGGAGGATGGATGAGCTCTCTAGAAAGGATTCATCATGTAGCTGAAGAGCAAAGCAGAGAGGTGTGAACATGTTCCCTACTCAGTCCACATCACCATCCCCTTCAAAACTGATTTATTCTGTGCCCCATTTCTCCAGAGCCATGTTAAGTGCCTGAGTGATTTAATGTGCTGATCTGAATTACGGCTTACCCAGCTATCCTGCAGCATAATGATCTTGCTTGCCTCAGAAATTAGGTAGCCCTTTACTTGACACCAATCATGTACTGTTGGTCAGCCTTACTTGTGTAAATGTCTGGTCTCTATAACTAGATTTTTTTTCTTAATCGGGTGGCATACTCTAATGCCCAACTGCTTTCATGCTTCCCCCATCAGCAACTAACCTAGAACCTAGTATATAATGGGTAATATATAAATATTTACTGATGAACATGAAGGAATTAAATGTATCTCCCACAATAGTGCATGGCTAACTGATTAAAAAAGACATCCCAGACTTTCACGTTCAATCCCATTTGGCTTCACAACTGCTTTGAAAGAAAGGAGAGCACATGGGAAATTCCAAAGAGGGGGACTAGCAATACCAGCCCTATCTGAGTTTTGAAAGTAGGACAAGTCCTTCTTTGATGGCCCCATTTCCTCATCTTTCCCCAGTGCTTTGGCAAACCCTGAGGAAGAAAGATACCAGATAAACTTACACTAAAGTACAATCTAAGACATAATCTTCCCTGGAGAAAACCAGTGTTTAACCCACAGGAATGAATCACTAATGGAATATCAGGCATACGTTGGGTCTTTGGAAAAGTCATGATGCATGTTTGCAACAGATGGCATTAGTTCATTTTTGGAAGTACTAGAGTCATTCGCATCTATGTTATTGCTATGTAATTTGACAACCGACAGTTCTAGCTTCATTCTAAACAAAATTGAGCGATTTGGTTGAGTTTTGGAGATTTTACAAGTTGAAGATGGAAGACCAAACTCTGCATTTTTGCCATATGTTACTGTTTTACTTTCATAAAGGAAAGAACACACATCAAGCTTGTGAAAAGTTGCATAAAGTTTATGGTGACAACGCTTTACAAGAACGTCAGTGCCAACGATGGTTCATGAAATTCCGTGCTGGTGATTTTGATCTCAATGCCGCTCCTCGGTCAGGGAGGCCCACCGAGGTTGATGACGACAAAATAAAGACATCGATCAAGTCAAATCCATGTTACACGACATGAGAGGTTGCAGAAACATTGTACATCCATCATTCAAAGATTCATTACCACCTGAACAAGCTGGGATATGTAAGCAAGCTCGATATTTGGGTTCCACATGAACTCAAAGAAGTCCATTTGACAGCGGATATAAACATGTGCAATATGCCCATTAAATATGAGGAAAATGATCCTTTTTTGAAGCGACTGATAACTGGTGATGAGAAGTGGATTCTTTACAACAATGTGGTGCACAAATGGCCTTGGTCCCGATGTGATGATTTGCCTCAAACGACATTGAAAGCAGACATTCATCAGAGGAAGGTTATGCTCTCAGTGTGGTGGGATTTTAAAGGTGTCGTGTTTTACGAGCTCCTACCAAGGAACCAAACAATCAAGCCAAATGTGTACTCTTGGCAATTGGACAGTTTGAATGAAGCCATCATCCAGAAATGTCCAGAGCTTGTTAATTGTAAAGGAGTTGTGTTCCATCGTGACAACGTGAGACCACACACAAGTTTGATCACCCGTCAAAAGTTATTGGAGCTTGAATGGGATGACTTGCCACACCCACCATACTTGGCTGACCTTGTGCCATCAGACTTCCATTTGTTTTGCTCTCTTCAAAACTCCTTGCATTGTGGGCCAGCCGAGTGGCATGTTGCTAAGAGCTGTCTTGGGACGCCAGCTCTGAGCAGCAGGGCCCCAGTTTGGATCCCACATGAGGGTAAGTGACACTGCCCTCTACAGCTAAGATGGTAAACAACAGCTCAACATGGAGCTGGGCTGCCATGAGTTGCTGGCGACAGCATAGGCTGCAGCCTCTGCTGCAGTGGGCTGCCATAAGCTACTGTGAGTGGCTAGCAGCCAGTGTGAGCAGCCGGCAGCCAATGTGACTGCCAAACGCCACCATGAGCAGCCGTCCAGAGTCCAGCAACCGCTCTGCCTCACCAGGGAAGAGCGCAATGATATTACCAACATGGGCCAGTGAAGCAACGTCCTCCACAACTAGACTGAAGAACAAAATGACAGCAACTTGTCTGTTCCCCTTCCCCTGACTCCCCAGTGCTGTTCCCCTCCCCCAATTCCCCAATCAAATCTTAAAAAAAAAAAAACCAAAACTCCTTGCATTGTATAACATTCAATCCAAATGTGGCTGTAAATCAGCACCTTGTTCAGTTTTTTTGCAAATAAAGACAGGTCCTTCTATGAATGAGGAATTATTAAGCTCACTGAAAGATGGCAAAAGGTTATTGAACAAAATGGGCAATATATCATTGATTGATCTTTGTTCTTTATATAAATAAGTGACCTCTGAAAAACATAGACAAAATATGTCATGACTTTTCTAAAGACCCAACAGAACCTGGGTAAAGCTATTTGGGACAAACTGTCTTTTACCAAGATCCTTTCAGACACACTGCTAGTGTAAGAACTCTTTTATTCATACTCGAATATCACACCATATGTACAAACCCAAAAAGCCATCAGCTCCATCCCCAAGTCTCTTCAGCAGCATTCTCTTCCCTTTCTCTTCTCTCCCAACCCCCATCACCAGCCCCTGCTAAATTTTATTTTCTTCCATTGGTCTGACAATCACTCTGATAAGTCATATATCAGTAGCTATAACAACAGGCTGCCACAGTGCAGGAGCTCTGCCTTTCTGTGCGATAGAAACGAGATTTGTTTACCTGAGAACAATCAAGGATGTGAGCAAACACGGGACTCCTTGGATCCAGAGGGATTTCAGTAAGGCTCTCACAAAGAGAATCCAAACACCTGTCATTTTTCATGGAGGCTCTCCCCATTCTTGACAAGGGATTGAGCACAG